TAAAAATTGAGCTCCCAAAAGTCTTGCAAAAGATTACAAACCGCTCGAGTGAGGACCCCATTTTACTCAGTCTTTCTCTCGAGCGATCATCGAGCAGAAATTTCGTGCAAGCAGTACTTTTGCCAAGTTTGCAGACCGTTCAAGCGACAGAAGTTGCGCTCAAACGACCACCCTTATTTTGAACCCCCGCTCGAGCGAAGGAAGTTGTGCTCGAGTGGAGACCCTATTATTTGGACTAACTCTTCTAAGTGCATACTTGCATCATCATATCATTTCAAGTACTCTTAGGCACTAATTGAGCTCATATAAACATGGAATGAGTTAGAAACACGTAAAGACAATTTAATTAAGTAGATTGACTATCGAATGGTACTCCAATTGTACATTTGCTATGTGTTTTGTATAGGTGGACGTTCGAGGCCTAGTGACAACATAACCCACTGTGACTAATAAATTTATAAAGATATGTTCAAGTTATGTTTACTTTCGAAAATGTTATTGCTATCGAAATTGATATATGATTGATCGAATGGCCTATTGAAACGTTATTTTCTCATAATGAATGAAGTTCTATTTTGAAATAGTATTATGGCATCCATTGAACGTAGGCCCTTACCTGGGGAGACAATACCATGGCTAGGAGCTTGCTTGGAGGAAACAATACCATGGCTTTTGGATTGATTGACACACAGAGATCTCTAGTGTTAGACCGTTATGGTTCATTATCATTGGAATGTTATTACTTCATGGATGTACCGCACAGTTGACATTGAATGATCTTGATGATGAAGTTAATGGATTATTGAGAACTAAAATGAAATTTGGTTTGGCAATGTTATCGAGCTTCATTCATATAACCTCTTTATTTTGTTATTACTCATTGGGCCCTAGCTCACTATTTATTTACATATGTAGGTGGGCAAGCTGAACATCAGAGTTAAGAAAGCCTCAAGTCTACCCGGGTCAGCCTTTTGAGGAACTTCCAAGTGAAGTAACTAGGCTTAGGTGAAGCCATGCTAGTTGAAACCCCTTTTTGCTTGATAAATGATTTTGGTATTTGTGCACACTTTGGGGTTTTGCATGACTATAAGATTTGGCTATTTGAACTTATGTGATGTATGTGCATAATGTACGAACGTTTATTTATGATACAAAGTTTGCTTTCTCCATGTATGCATGGCTCGATGGATAACTTATATGTTGTATTTTACTTCCGCTAGGCCCTGTACTTTATTTTAAACGGATTTTTGTTTAGAGGCCGTAGGTAATTTATGATTACTGGCTAGTCATGGCACTAAACCTATAGGGGCAGGTTTGAGCCGTGGCACATTCAGCATCAGATTGATTTCATACCAGAAGTAAGTCTGCCAAACCTACCACACTACAGAATAAGTCCAAAAGAGAGTGTGATCCAGCGTGAGAAACTCAAAGAATTGCTGCAAAAGGGACTTATTCATGAAAGCCTAAGTCCATGTGCTGTTTCGGCATTATTAACGCCAAAGAAAGATAGAAGTTGGCAAATGTGTATAGACAGCGAGCCATTAACCAGATTACCATCAAGTACAAATTTCTCATTCCCTGACTAGATGATATGTTAGACATGCTAGAAGCATCAAAGTGGTTTTCAAAGATTGAATCTGCGAAGTGGGTACCATCAAATTCGAATTCGTCCTGGGGATGAATGGAAAACAACATTCAAGACTAAGGATGGTTTGTATGAATGGTTGGTTATGCCACTCGGCCTTTCCAATGCTCCCAGCACCTTTATGCGAGTTATGTATTAGGTATTACGACCTTTCATTAAGAAATTTGTCATTGTTTATTTTGATGACATCTTAATCTACAGTAAATTAGAGGAGGACCACATGGCCCATTTACGGGAGGTGTTGACAGCATTGGAGGTAAGCAAGTTATACGTTAACCTTAAGAAGTGCAGTTTCCTCACAAGTAGCTTGATGCTCTTGGGTTATATGGATAGTTCAGATAGCATTCATGTAGATCAAAAGAAGGCTCAAGCCATCCAAGAGTAGCTAACACCCAAGATTGTTAGTGATGTTCAGAGTTTCCATGGGTTGGCTACGTTTTATAGGCGTTTCATTCGAAATTTCAACACTATTGTGGCACCAATCATAGAGTGCATGAAGAAAGGAAAATTCCTGTGGGGTGATGATGCAGAAAAGAGTTTCTTGTTGATCAAAGAGAAGTTGTGCACTACACCAATGCTAGCTTTACCCAGTTTTGAGAAGATTTTTGAGGTAGAGTGTGATGCTAGTGGTGTGGGCATCGGGACAGTCCTATCTCAAGAACATAAACCGGTGGCCTTTTTCAGTGAAAAATTAAGTGAAGCTCGGCAAAAGTGGAGCACTTATGACCAAGAATTTTATGTAGTGGTTCGAGCTTTGAAGCATTGGGAACATTACCTGATACAGAGAGAGTTTGTGTTGTATACTGATCATCAAGCCTTAAAGTTTATCAATAGCCAGAAGCACCTAGATAACATGCATGTAAGATGGTCTACTTTCCTTCAGAAATTTCCTTTTACTATTCGCCACAAATTAGGGGTTCTGAATCGAGTCGCGGATGCCTTGAGTCGACGGGCTAGTTTATTAGTCACGTTGACACATGAAATTGTGGGGTTTCAGTTCCTGAAAGACCTTTATCCAAATGATGATGACTTGAAGGAGATATGGGCAAAGTGTATTCAAAGGCAACCAGTCACTAATTTCCACATCACTGATGCCTATCTATTTCGAGGAAATCGTTTGTGCATTCCTCGTATCTCTTTGCGAGAGAAACTAATTCGGGATCTCCATAGTAGTGGCATAAGTGGACATTTGGGGAGGGACAAGACTATTGCAAGTATGGAATAACGATATTTCTGGCCTTAGTTGAAGCGAGATGTTGGCAATTTGGTGAGGAAGTGCTATATTTGTCAGGTATCCGAAGGGCAGCCTCAGAATATTGGCCTCTATATGCCTCTACCTGTTCCTAACAGCATTTGGGAAGACTTGTCGATGGACTTTGTGTTAGGACTCCCTCGTACCCAATGTGGAGTTGATTCTGTGTTCATAGTGGTTGATAGGTTTTCAAAGATAGCGCATTTTATTCCTTGTCGAAAGACTTCAGACGCCTCTCATTTGGCTCGATTATTCTTTCGAGAAGTAATTCGTTTGCATGCAGTCCCTCAATTCATTACCTCAGATCGTGATGTCAAGTTCCTTAGCCACTTCTAGGTGACTTTGTAGACGATATTTAACATAGCCTTGAATCGTAGTTCAACCATGCATCCTCAAATAGATGGTCAAACAGAGGTGACTAATAGGACTTTGGGCAATTTGGTTCGCAGCATTTGTGGAGACAAACCAAAGCAGTGGGATCTTGCCTTGCTCAAGCAGAATTCGCATATAATGGCATAGTTCACAGTGCCACAGGAAAGTCACCATTCTCTCTGGTGTATGTCACGCCTCCAAAACATGCAGTTGATTTTCTCTGTTTGCCTTGGGGTCCAGGACTGAGTACTGCTACCGAAACCATGGTCAAACAAGCCCAAGCAGTACAAGAAGAAGTACGACAGAAGCTAGAGGAAACAAATACCAAATATAAGGCAGCTAAAGACAACCATCGACGCTCCAAACTATTCAAGAAAGGAGATTCAGTAATGGTGTTTTTGCGCAAAGACAGATTTCCAATCGGCACATACAACAAATTGAAGCCTCGCAAGTATGGTCCATATAGTGTGTTGAAGAAAATTAATGACAATGCTTATGTGATTGAGCTACCAGACGATAAGACTTTTAATGTAGCTGATTTATATGAGTATCATGTTGAAGAACCCCTCTATCTATAATTGAACTCGAGGTCGAGTTCTCTCTAAGAAGAAGGGACTGATGTAAAACAAATAACTGAAGACTTCTTGGAACAATTGGACCAACAAAAGGCAAGAAAGATGTAGAACAAAATTCTACAATTTTTATATTTCTTAATTTTATGATTTTGGAATTAGATTTTCACTAGGATTTTAAATAGTTTAGAATTTTAGACTCTTGCGTTTCTTAATTTGTATTGATTTAAGTTTCCTAGTTTCCTATTCTCTTAGGTTTCCTAATTTGTGTTGATTTAAGTTTCCTAATTTATTTTAGAATTTCTTTTCCTACAAGTATTAGGTTTAGTTTATTATAAATAGGCCTACAAGCATATGTAATTCATTCATTCAATCAATAATATTTTAATGAGTTTTTCTTCCATCTTCCTCGTGGATTCAAGGGTATTCTTGTGGATTCAAGAATTCTGATCTACTAGAACGATATCTAGTCTCGTGTGATTTATTCTGATGCGTCACATACGCAACAACCCTTCATTTGAGGTGAACCTCACTTTTTTGTGAGTTCCACACATATGTGAGAGGATTGGTCCTATAATTAATTTTTGTGTAAGAAGAAGAATTGTATGTTGCAGGAGGGACTTGCACAACGATTGAGATAACAATCCACAAGAAGTAGGAGACATACCCAAACAAAGAAAACATTTCCAAGGAGCATTTCGAACATTTTAATCACCTATCATGATGTGGGAAATGCTCAACAAGTGAAGATTATATATATTTTCTATACAATTATATATGTGGGCACCTAAATTAGTGTTTTGAAACTTTGTCTCTCTTTATGCCAAGTGTCCAGTTATCTATAAAAAAATGAAAAATAAAATAAACGAAGTTAAATAACATGATAGGATAAGACTTACTTTAAGACCACAAAATTAACACGAAAGATTCTTACCAAATGAGATTACAACTAATATATGCTAAATATTTTATTTTATTTTTATTTATTTAACTTAGGCGTATGCCAACCACTAGTATATATATACATATATATAAGAAATTACATCAACACCATACACCTCATTATCAAGCATGTAGAAGGGAAACAGAGTATACCCCTAGGCTAGTATATATATATATCTGCTACAAAAACAAAAAAGAAATCAAGAGAACTTACATTTTATCCTCCATTGCTTTTAAGCGTACTGTTTTCCAGGTAGTTGGATTCTTTATCAGTACGAGGGAAGGCAGCGTAATATGTCTGAACGGCGGTCAAGAAAAAAGCAAACAGTGCAGCAAGGACAGCAATGGCAGTCCAGGGGCTCCTAAAATGGTCGCGCATCACTTCTGCAATCCAAGATGCTATTCGGGTCTTCCCTTTGTGGCTGTGGTATTCTTCGATACTTGGCATGACGCTAAAATAATTTGAATTTCTATAGTCTGGGACCAACCCAGCAGCCATTTCACCGATTACTTTCACAACTTCTTCATCGTTCCTGAGAAAATTGGTGATGATACCTGCATATTTCAGCTCCTTAACATCGTTAGCAGAATCAATGATTGAATCTAGAAAGCATGTATAATTTGTCGCCCATAAGTAATTAGCTAAGGTATTAGGGCAGTGTTCATAGGCGGCCAAGTTGAGAAGCAAAGAAATGGCCGTGTCGTCAATGTTTATTTTAGGAAGTATCAGTATCCCGCCAGTCCGCGTAGACTTGAATGCTATGTATGATAAGCAATCACGATAGGAAGGCCTGAATCGGATCCCCACCATCTTAAGGTCCATGGCTGAACGACGTGGGTACTGCTGATGATAAATATTGCCAACTTGTCTATTTCTATAAATTTCTACGAGTTCATCGTAATGTCGTGACCAGCGAACCTCTATAAATAACCGTTCCACATACTTTTTCAGAAATGATGGTTTTCTGCCCCTTATTTTTTGAATAAATCTGCTAATCAAATCTTTGCCTCTGCGTCCATAAAATCTGAAGTTCATGTTCATTAGTGCCAGGAGGACTTGAAAAGGAACTTGATTCTCAAGTAAGAGCAAGTCCCGGTGTACCAAAGCTATTTCGAGACTCCTCATCTCCAATTGACCCTCTTTATCGTTCACAATGCACCAAACAAATTGGAGGATAAAGCAACCATCGAGGACCATCATCTCAGTGAAGGCTGTGTCTTCAATGCCTTCCGTTGTACCCTCAGCATAGCAGCTTCTTGCCTCACCTGCTACCTCTGCAACCTTGTTATATGATTCAGTTATGTCTAGTGGAACACAACTTTGACAAACTCCCATTTGAATTGAATTTTGAATTTCTCGAATGATTTGAGGTTTGTCTTATTGTGGTGGTAGGGACCGATGGAAACCAGCTGCGGATCGTAGTATTTCTCGGTCTTCATCTGCCGAAGCATCTGGGGGACTCTCCGTACCTTATGCTCTGGCTTTGTGTTGTTAGAGGACTCACCGCTCTTGCTAGACTCGCCTCCTTCGTTCTTTATGGAATCTTGGAACTCATCGCGGATGGGGTGCGGTGGCGGTGGCTTCAGATGGCTTTCAATTACAATACTCACCTCGTCGGTAATGGCCACAGGTTGGTCGTGGCTGCTGCTCCCTTCACCTTGGACTATACTCCTTGGAGATAGATCTTTTTCAGTAAGAGTTACCTTCTCACAATCTTCCATCGTAAGCACTTAGTAGGCAGGCAGGCTGGAAGGAAGGAATATGATAAACAACAATCTGGCTACCAAGGTGCTATTAAGGGTTGGTTTGGGAAGTGGGTTGGCTTTTTGATGTTTTTGGCTATTTTAATTTGGGCTAAAAAATTTAGTTTAGGAAGGATTTTTTGGCTTTTTTGACTGTTTTTTGTGAGAGAAGAGTGTAATGATTATGAATTGAATGTAATGTTTTATTTTTTGTGACTAAAATAACCTATTTTATTTTTTGTGATTAAAATAACTAAAAAGTCCAACCTAGCTCTTCCCTCTTTTCCACTAGAATAGATTCACACCTTACATTTGTTATCCGTTTAAACGATAAGTTTAGGAGCTTCCCAATTTACCCAAAAATTTAGCAATTGTATTGATATCCTAATTAATTGAAATATTATTATTTTTTTAAGAGCCTCCATTTTAAAGTAAGTTGACATGTGAATGCTTGATAAATATTTGAGTAAATTGGAGAGACTCCCTAATATTATTGTTACATAGTGATGGGTGGTTCCCTCCAAATGGGGTCCCACAAAGACTATTTGCAGTCAAAATTAATTAGATAACGGAAAATCTTTGAGAGTTTTAGAGAGTTCTAATGAAAGGTGGACCACACAACGATGCGATTCTATATCTTACATTTTTATTTATTTTTAATTTAAATTAAGATTGGATGGTTATTTTTTACTTGGGATTGATGAAATTTCAATGGATTGTCATAAAGATTACATAAAGACTTGTTTTGAAAAGTTTGTTAAAAATTAATTTTTTAATTTTTTAAAAAATATATATATATATATATATATATATATAAAGTAAAGATGTAATATAATCTAAAATAAATTAAAATTAAAAAGGGACTTTGCAAGTTAGCTTTTGGTGTTTAATTAAGTTTTTTGGTTTTTTTAAACAGTGATTTGAAAAGTTGATAAAAAATTATTTATTTATTTATTTATTTATGATTAATATTTGTTTATGATGCCACATCATAATAAAATGACCAAAATATCCCACCCAATTTGAAAAATTTACTTTTTGACTCATGGGACTCATTTAGCTGCTTGTAGGAACATGGAGGGTAGTTATGTAATTTCACACCTTGTGTTTTGTGTGCTTTCCTAATGGTGTTCTAGTTCTAGCTTTTGTAGCTGCCCAGGCTGCGTTTTTGGAAGCCGCAAAACGCAGCTTTTTGTTTGGGTTCCAAATGACCAGATAAAAGGTGAAGAAAAGTAGGTTTTCTTCCTTAGCTTAAGCTAAGATTGGATGATAATTTTTTATCCGATCTTGATGAAATTTTAATGGGTGTTCATGAAGACGAGCTCTACATTTCGATCGGAGTGAATCTTGTTAAAATTTTGTTGGATTAGTAGTTTGGGATATTCACTTTGATGATATCTAAATTTTATCTTTTGTTGATTTTGTTAAAATCCACCTTTATAGTTATAATATAAGTATGTTGGTCATCCAAGTATATATTTTGATGATTGTATACTTTTAGTTGTGACTAAAGATGAACCATTGTGAATCTATTATTTTATAGTGGAAGTTGATTTGAAGTTAGACTCGTAGACGTAGGCATCTTTGCCGAATCACGTAAATTTAGTGTTTTATAATTGTTTTGTTGCCTTTAAAATTTTCAGCCATATTATTGCTTGTTGTTTGTGATTTGTTACCCATTTTGTAATTACACAAGAAAAGAAAAATATAAGAATTTTCCCAACAAAAGGTGTCCTTTTTGAAGAGTGCATCCTCTTATGAAAATAACCATATAAGTCTTTGATTGATTTGGAGCATCATGGCAACACACATGGTGCTCCAAGACTACTCAATAATTATACTCATGGGCTAATGTGAAAAAAATAATAAAAAATAAAAAGTAATGAGTGTTGCTAGAGATGCTGTTATGATTCCGATATTTATTTATCAATATGGTTCCTCAACTTTTGTGTAATTATAAGAAAATATATTTCGGATTACTCAAAAATATATTTAAGCAAGCCAAAAGAGGCTCACAAGCACCCAGAGAGAGCCTCTTTGGTATAGTTTTTTGGGATATTTTTTTTAAAGTCTTTGATATTATGATTTTATAGTATAAAGGATATCAACTATTTTCATGATATCTAAGGTCTCTCAACATCAACCCAGAAAAATTTCAGTCCAGAGAAAATTCGATCGAGAGAAAATTTAACCAGAGAAAATTCAATCCAGAGAAATTCTCTGGTCCAAACCAGAGAAAATTCAATTCAGAGAAATTTAATTCTGTCTAAAATTTACCTCTTATTCTAGCCAAAATGAGTTCTAGAAACCACAATCCATGAGAGACAGAAAATCTTCCTGTGGAGGTTAGTCTCAGCAAAAATCCAAATAGACTCCTCTGAATGTCCCTTCTGCGGAGCGGAACCTGAATCTGCAATCCATCTGTTCTTCTTATGCAAACCCATGAAGATGATTTGGTTTGCCAAGTTGGGTATTAGGACAGGTGATTTCTCCCACCTATCATTCTCAGATTGGATCAACCATTTTCTCACTCCATCCTTGATATTTGGAGTTTCTCCTCCAAGCAAGTCAGATTTTGTGCTTTTTGCAATAATTCTCATGGAAAAAACTTGGCTTCGGAGAAACAGAGCTTTCTTTTGCTGTCCAAAGGTTGAACCAGAGAAATTTCAAAATTTCTTTGGACTCCCCAAACCCAAAGAAATTCTCAGACAAACATTTTCAGAGATTCTCCCACCCAGAGAATTTCTCTGGACTCCACAACCTAGAGAAAATTCCCAGCCAGAGAAATTCTCTCAACCCAAAGAATTTCTCTGGGCATGACCAGATGCAATAGCTGAGTTGAAATACGGTGATACAGTCACTCTGCCGCCAAAGTATGCCTGAAGATGCAACAAACTGTCTTGAATCACTACTTAAACATAAAATTCATTAGAACATGATAACTTGATTTTTTGTGTTCCATAAGAGCATGCATCAAATGAAAAACTTGCATGGCTACCCAATCAGGATAAACATGAATGTTGGTCTGATCCTTTGAATTTTCTCTGGGTTGAATCTAGAGAAATTTGAGAAATTCTTGGGGCATGAGCTCCAAGACAGACCACAACCTTGCAGCTTCGGTAGAGTTGGATCCCAATTTGCATGTTGAAGCTTCGTTGCAGTCTGCCAAGTACTTTCCAGAAACGTTTTCAAGCCTCGGATGCGTAGCAACGTAGCAAGTCGTCGCAGCGGCCTGAACAAAAATTCAAATTCATTAACACACTTGCACCTAATATAAATACTTACAATAAGATATATAAATTAAGTGTATATCATCAAAAATTTGAGCGAGTGATTAATAAACACTACCTGAGGAATTGTCTTCAAGAACTTGGAAGCCAAGAAGACTAATAGATCTGCATATTTTATCGCTTCAATTTTACAACCTCAAGACTCAACTAGATGCGTATATATATACATATATATATGCATGAATCTCAGGTTTAGAGAATAGTAGCGACCTATTATGAGGCCGGGTCGCGGATCCGGGCGGCGCGGAGGTCTGCGACGGTGGCGGAGCGGGGGAGGAGTCGGAGGAGAAGGTGTTGAGGAAGAGGTCGTAGAGGAGGGTGGAGAGGAGGGTTGAGGAGCGCCTGAACAAAAATTCAAATTCATTAACACACTTGCACCTCCTATAAATACTTACAATAAGATATATAAATTAAGTGTATATCATCAAAAATTTGAGCGAGTGATTAATAAACACTACCTGAGGAATTGTCTTCAAGAACTTGGAAGCCAAGAAGAATACTAGATCTGCATATTTTATCGCTTCAATTTTACAACCTCAAGACTCAACTAGATGCGTATATATATACATATATATATATGCATGAATCTCAGGTTAGAGAATAGTAGCGACCTGTTATGAGGCCGGGTCGCGGATTCGGGCGGCGCGGAGGTCTGCGACGGTGGCGGAACGGGGGAGGAGTCGGAGGAGAAGGTGTTGAGGAAGAGGTCGTAGAGGAGGGTGGAGAGGAGGGTTGAGGAGCAGAGTTTGTTGCCTTGGATCTGGAAGACAGTGGGTGAGAGGAGAAGAGAGAGAGAGAGAATAGAGTAGAGACAAAAAGTCAAATTTCTCTGATATATGTTTAGGGACCTTAGATATCAAAAATTAATTTTGTAGATCTCTTCCATTATGAAAAGTGGGAGAGGGACCCTAGACCAATTTTCCCTAGTTTTTTTCAAGTTGAAAATTGATAATCAAGAAATAAAAGTTAAAAAAACTCCTTGTGGCATTCAGATAATCAATATTTTTTTTAAAACTTATTTAAATTATTTCTATCTCATAAATTATAAACATAAATTGTACCAAATATTTTTTCCATATAAAAAACTTATAAGCAACTCTGCACCAAACAAAGAGAAACAGAGAATCTTTATTCAAACATAAAAGAAATGATCACATCAAAGCAAAACAAATTCAAGCAAAAACAAAGCTATCAATCTTAAGCAATCCTTTCAAAGTTGATAAGTAATAAGAGAATGCAACAAAGACAGAGCAGTGTTCCCAAAATTTTCAACCTTTTGGTGGGTTGGCTGTGAGGTAAGTCTGAATTGCTGCAAGGAAAGTCTGAAAAACACTCAAAGTAATAGCCAAAATTGCAGCAGCGACAGCAATGAAAGTCCAAGGGCTCCTAAAATATGTATGGTGCCACTCTGCCATCCAAATCTTCATGCTGTTTTTATGATGCTTTTCAATTCTTGTTTTCACTTCAACATAAGCATGAGGGCTTGGAACCAACTCAGTAGCTATCTCATTGAAAATATCAGCCACTTGTTGGTCACTACCAAGAAAGTTGAGCAATATACCTTTGGACCTCAGCACCTTCACATCGTCAGCATGATCAATAAGAGAATCCATGAAACATATGTAAGAGGTCACCCCAAAGTCGGTTACACTATCTGGGCAGGCCTCATAGGCAGCCAAGTTCAACAGAATAGATTTTGTTGTGTCGTCAATGATCATCGGAGGGAGTTTTAGAATCCCGGAAGTGCATGTTGGGTTGAAATCTATGTCTGTCAATTGGAATGTCTTGCTTGGCTTAAATTGTATCCCAACTGACTTGAAGTCCTTGGCGGATCGACGAGAGTACCAACCACCAGTTATGTAACACCCAATGGCAAAAGCTGTTGGGTCGATATATTGCCTGCGAACGAGTTCAAGAAGATGAATGGGGGGTTCGTCGTTGGAATTCTTTTGTTGCGTCTCATGATGTACTAACCCCCAAACATTCTTGTCAAAGAAGATTCTGATTTGTTCTATTAGTCCAGCTCTCACCACAGACTCTCCTCTTATGCGCTTGATGAAAACAGTGATCATGTTTTCCCCAGTGATCATGTTTTCCTCATCATGATTTTCAAATCTCAGGCGCATTAGCACTTGGAGAACTATGAAAGGAAGTTGATTCTCCAACAAGAACAAGTCTCGCCGCACCAAAGGAGCATGGTGGATTATCTTCAAAACTGTGTGACTTTCATTTACGATGCTGTAAATGTACTGAAGGATGAAGCAGCCATCAAGGAACATCATCTGGGCAAATTCCTCGTAATTGAACCGTTCTGTTAAGCCTTCAGCATAGCACTTCCTGGCTTCATCGACCACATTGACCACCTCATTGTATAATTCATCGATCGTTGCTTTGCTTCCTTTGACATATTCTCGTGCCAGTGGAATTTTGAGCCTTTGAACAGGTTCAAGCTCTGGTTTTCCATGGTGGCAAGGACCGATTGAAACCACCCGAGGATCGTAGCATTTCTTGTTGGATTCAACCTCACGAAGCATCGGTTGAGCCTTCTGTATTTTGGGCTTCTGTGATTTGATGCTTAGAGATCGAGGCTCGTTTCGAGCATCCATTATGGAGTTTAGCCACTTATTGTTGCTGAGTGAACAAATATCTCTCTTGTCACCCTGTTTAATCTCAATACTCACAGATTCATCAAGACCATCAGCAGCAAGAGCTTGCCTCTGAGTCTGAGACGCCATTGTTGGTATAAGCTAAGCAACTGTGAATATCTGCGTCTATATATATAGTTCATACGAAATATGTGGACGATTAGCTTTGTGGATTAAGTGGTAGATTGTTGGTTGAAGACAAGTATATTCGTTTCTGGTTTATCAAACTAGGTATTGGATGCATTTTTCTAGTTTTGAAGCAAGAACACTCCAGTTCACATGTGCTCCAGATAATGAAGTACATCTAGGGGAATGTTTGATTGGATGGATTAGAGTATGAAATTGAGATTATTAATCCGTGGCCCAATTATTCTATATTTGTTTTAACATTTTGGTTTAGGATTATTAATCTAATGGATAATTAATCTAACAAATTTATACGATTATTAGTAATGGGGTAGGAGTGAAATTATTAATCCAATGGATAATTTATCCTATTAATCCAATTAGATAGTGAATATTATTAATACCTCACATTAGTCTTGTAAATCAAACATGGCCTAAAACTATAATATTATAAAGTATTCTGCTTGTTTCCCAAAAGTGTTGTACAAGTTCATAACCAGCTGAATTCGATACTCATGATTGATTTTTAGTTTGCAAATAATCATTGAAACAATAGTGATGATAATTAATACATTAAACATGTACCAAGATCATATAAAACAATGAAAACACAAACAATTAGGAATATATAGCAATCAACTTTAAAGTGCGTGTTGACATAAACCAAGATTAGTAAAGGTAAAATAGCAAATTAATTTTTCTATAAACTTTTCCAGATAAAATATGATGGTATCTTCCCAACACATAACTACAGATCATACTTCAACAAGTAGGCTTTTGTTTGAACTTTTACGTGGGTCAACATTTTTAGAAAAATTTACTTGCACAGAATAACATAGATGTATGATTTTCTCTGTTTTTTTAAAATTTCTTTTTCCAAAGAAAGATTTAATTATACTTTTTCTTATCCTGTCATATGAGTTGCCGCAGGGAATACTTAACGATTCTTTATTTCCTAGCTAAGCAAGGTAAAAAACAAAGATGGATCTAACTTTGTCATTCCTAGCTTAAAATAACACAAAACTTCTCCCACTGCTGAAGCATGAATAATCCAGTCCAAGTGTGCTTCGAATAAAGTAAATTTAATACTATAATAATAATCATATAGCATCTTCATGTTTCTCATAAAGTGTTCCACATAGTATTGTATAGGAGCTAAAGGAGTGATAAATCTAATTAATAAGAGTTTAAACCTGGTAATGCTTCACTACATACCCTCTCTATTTTTATTTTGTTTTCACCCAAAAAAATATTTTTAAATTCCTTTTCTATCCCATCATAAAATTTGCGAGAGGGACTACTCAAGGATTCTTTAGTAAAAAAATGCACTCAATTTAATCCCTATTAGAAACAAGTCTGAGAGAGGCAAGTTAGGTACAGCCCTAACCTTGTCAAATTCGGTTTTCCCATTCATAGGAACAAAATGTGTAATAGGGACAAAATAATTCTGTTGAATTCAAATAATACAGTATACAGTCGCTACAAAAAATTTAGGTTTTAGAAATCAAAATTTAGGGATAAAATTATATTTTAGGGATCAAATATTTTTATTACAAAAAGTGTCATTATATTTTTAGCAACGAAATTAGACATTAGTGATGAATTATTGTCATTTTGAAACCAAATTTTTTGTCTTAAAAAATAAACCATTTTGAGACCAAATTATTTTGTCCTTAAAAATCTATTTATTAGTGACATTTTTAAAATTTTGTCACTAAAAGTCTTGTTTTTGACTTTTCAGGACGATCTTTTAGTGACTATCCTTATGACGATAAAAATTGATCCCTAAATATTATTTACAACAAAATTTTCACTTTTAGAGATCAAAATATTTGATCTCTAAAACTCTTATATGTTGTAGTGAGTAAGAACAAAATAAATAAGCCTCTAAAAAGAGAATGGTGGTTTAGAAGCATTGAGATGAAAAACAACCACCCAATACAGCCTCATATAATATAACCAGCAATAAAAAATGTTGGCACTTAACACCCAAAAAATTTTATTTTCTAAATTGACCAAAAGCAAAACGAATAGTTATAAATACATATAAATTCCCAAATTTTACACTACTTATCTAAATTATAGATACATATACAAATAGATATAAACATCTATTCTATTATATAAAGTATACATAACTATTCGTGTGAATGTTGTCACAACTTTTCTTTGTTTCACAATGAAAAATCTAAAAATTCTCTAAATATTGATTTGTAATTATGTATCAATTTTAACCAGTAAATAGTAACCCCAATCTTTTCTTTTGCTCATTTTTTTTTCTTTTGCACACTTATTGGCGGCTTTCACACTCAAGAGTATGGAAACCGAACTAGAGAAGCATGGATACAATAAGAATAGCCTGGTTGGTGACTTTGAGGTAGCCTTTTCCTCATGCCTTAACTGCAAAGAATTGAGGGAAAAGCCGTGGAGATGCAAAAAGATGGAAGGTGGTTATGAGACTCAACATCACCCATGATGTGCTAGTATAAGTCAATTCCTCTAGAAAAACAAAAGACATCATGCAAGAAATCCATAGAGAAAATTGATCACTAAAGCGGAAGGTTCTGATATTTGCTAATCCAATAATGTGTACAGAATGAGACATATTAATCAAAGAACACACACTCCAAAATGAGTAATGACCATAAAAGGCACACACATATTAACATGTAATGGATATTCTCATCAAGTTCAACATGCAACAGGAACTTCTCAAAAATTTCAAGCTTGCAAAACCATACTAAGAAAATCTTTTTTATTTTTTATTTTTGTTTTTGTTTTGTTGTTTTGTTTTGTTTTTTGTTTTTTGTTTTTTTTTTCCCCCTAGACAAGACAGAAAACAAACAAGTATACACACAATGACCCAAACCGAAAATCAAACAGAAATAGAAAGCACAAAGAGGAAAAAAAACAAAAAAAAATGAATAAACAAATTAACACAAGTCAAGCTTTCTCACCCAAACCACTTTAGTATGAACAACGTTGTGAGAATTGCAATTCTTGGGTGGTGTCTTGATATTGTGGTTCCCTTCCCCTTCAGTGGGAACCCGTCTCGACTTGGTTTCCAACTTCCTATTCTGAGATCTAGGCAAACAAAACCTCTATTCACATGTGGTCTCAAGAAAATCAAAATAGCGAGGTCTATTATGACTCTTAACCTCCTTATGACCAATGAAGTGTCTCATACTTCACCAGATGTTGGAATTTCTTCCATCTCTCTAAGATACTTTCCCATGCAACTCATGACAGTAAGGGCGAATATGACCATACATACCATAATTATGACAAATAAAGACAGTGTGTACCTTCTTTTCTCCGACCTTACCAACTCTAGGAAGATTGAAAAGTCCTTCCTCTCATTGATTCTGTTACTCCCCCTGCCCTTGAGTTCTTGTATCAGGAGATATGAATACACTCAGGTTTTGCTCTTTGTTATTGTAGACACTCCATTTTTGACCGCCTGTAAGACTTGGGCGCCACCGATTGATCACCCAATGATGAATTCTACGCTTGTCAGACGCTCGATTTCCTCAGCAGAAAGCCTCGGTTTTGAGCCACAAAAGCCTAGAAACCTTGCGCCACTTTTAGACCAAAATGAGTTTTTTTTTTTTCCAAGCCTGACCACCCAGGGGCCTGCAAGCCACTTAGTAGTCGACTGGCCACAAATGAGTGTACGGTTGTCCCCTTAATGGCCGGCGATTCACTTGTTCTGGCAAAATAGATATTTTCTGCCAGTTGTGCTAGCTATCTCCACAAGTGCATGCACTGCACCAACTGTGTGTATACTGATATTGCCGAGGCAGTAACATAATTTTCTATATATATTTGACCCCCTCTCATAAAATTAGGTTAGAAAATTTTAGTGAAGCAAAATTCTTGGAAAAAATATCTCGCTCTTCCTTGTAACCTAAACACACCTCACCTAGACTTCCTAAACCAAATTTTAAGAGTTCTTTATTGAGGTTATTGAGCTTGCATAGTAGTTCTTGAGGGTGAGACATTGGTGGTTTATAACTCCAAGGGGTTACTCCTCTGCAAGAGGTATACTTCTAGCTTCTTTCCCTTACTTACTTCATATCTTTATTTGTTGTTTTTGAACTATTTTTCAACTATTTTTATGGGCTCAAACTTGTGATTAAAACTTATCCAAGGTAGAGGGGTGAACCACCCTTCTTTGTACCTTGTATTCCAAGCTTTTGCTCTTGTGTTTCCCATCTCTTCATCAACTTTTTTTGAGCTTTTTGCCATTGAATTTTAGAGGTTTTCAGAGGCTAAAATGTGGTTTTGAAGTCCCAAAAATGAAGGGGTTAGCCTTACCTCTTTGTGTTTGTTTACTAGCTTCATGTCCTTGTTATTTTAGCTAACTTTTTCATGCTTTTCTCTTAGAATTTTAGCATTGTTTTTAGCTATTTTAGTACTATTTTAGTTTTTTCATTTCATTTATGCTTTGTATAGTATGCTTGTAGTGTAATAGTCCTCATGGGTTTGGTATTTTAGACATTAGACACTAACTTATTTGAGTTGATAGCATTTATTTCAAGCTTTCTATACTTGTGTTCACCCCTAATCACCTCTGCACTCTCCCTATTTTCTTAGCTTTTTCATTACTTTGAGAGTTTTTTCAAACAAGTATTGTTTAAGTTTGAGAAAGAGAAACCCTTTCTTAATGGTTTAATTTCTTTGGAGGTTCATTACCAAAGACATGACCTCTCTCTCATGCCCAAAACAACCCTTTGTTTGACACTCCTCTCCATTAGTAGAATTAATCTTCATTATTGGACTAAAATGACTAATGAATGGAAAGGTAATTAAAAGAGGTAATAAAATTGTACTAAGAGGTAACAAGATAATAAAACGGTTTGGGGTTCAATTGAACGTTACTTGAATCCATTGAGTTTTGAGCCATTTCATACTCTCTTGTGATGATAATGGTTCAAAATATCAAGTCAACCACTTTCCTTGATTAATATCATGATAGGGAGAGGTTTTTGTTGGTCCTTTAGCTTCATTTAAGCTTTTGTCCCTTGATTCACAGACCATCATGCAATGTG